CTAAAAACAATGCCTTCACTGAATGGGTCCAGAGAGTCGACCAACTCCAGCTCAGCGTCTCCTCCTAAGGTTATCATCTGGTACATTTCCTTCAGTTTGTTGGATATAATGGTAAAACCCGTCATAAACTCGTTCAGACGCTGCTTCCTCAGGTCCTCATGGTACTTCCTTTGTTGGTCTCTCTGCTGGGTGATCTCATCCAGCTCTGCCACACGCTGCAGGTATATCTCTTCCTGAAACAACACAATTATCACTCATCCCAACATCTCCAAATCAACCTCAATAAAAGCAAAAATATTGTACTAAGAACATAAGAAGGAGCATTGCTGCAGGTCTACTGGCCCATGCTAGGCAGGTCCAAGCCACAAACACTTAAGAAAGAAGGAGCACTGCTGCAGGCCTACTGGCTCATGCTAGGCAGATCCACCTCACATCCACTTATGTACATGTTTAACCTATTTTTAAAGTTACTCAAGGTTTTAGCTTCAATGAGTCTACTCAGGCATTTGTTGCACTCATCAAGATAGTAAATGCTACTATCACTTGACATAAAAAAAATTACAGTAGAATAACTAGTGATGACAGAACATGACAATGTTAACCTGAAGAAACAAGCAGGTAATAACAGTGTGACCAGCCAGTGTGTTTGTGTTCATTCACAGAACATTAACTCATATACAAACTAATTACATTAACACACTGGTATATTAACATGAATGCGTGCTGGATGTGAAAGATCTTATTTCTCAACATATTTCACAACCCTGTCATCCACATCACATTTATACCTGTCATTATCATCAACCTACAACCAAACTGACACGTTAATACATATGATTTATGTGTAACAGTAAATAACAGTGGAACTTGTTGCCTTCCTACCTGCCTCCAATATATGACCACTCTAATGATCCAGGTGGGAAGTGATGCAAGTGGGAAGTGATCCAGGTGGGAAGTGATGCAAGTGAGAAGTGATGTAGGTGAGAAGTGATCCATCTTCCCAATACTTCCAATTCTCCATCAAATAACTCTCTTCTCTTATTTTTAATTGTCAAATTCATTAGTTCCTTAGGCTTTATCAACTTATTATTCTCACTCCAAAACTTTTTATTCTCAGCAAAATTTGTTGATAGTTTCTCACTTGCTCTCTTTTTACATTCCTTCAACACTCTCTTAACCTCTCTTTTTCTCTCCATATACTCCTCCTTCCTTGCATCACGTCTACTTCGTAAAAACATCTCATAAGATAAGATAAAGATAAGATTTTGTTCGGATTTTTAACCCCGAAGGGTTAGCCACCCAGGATAACCCAAGAAAGTCAGTGCGTCATCGAGGACTGTCTAACTTATTTCCATTGGGGTCCTTAATCTTGTCCCCCAGGATGCGACCCACACCAGTCGACTAACACCCAGGTACCTATTTGCTGCTAGGTGAACAGGACAACAGGTGTAAGGAAACACGTGTCGAAATGTTTCCACCCGCCGGGAATCGAACCCGGGCCCTCCGTGTGTGAAGCGGGAGCTTTAGCCACCAGGCCACCCAATATGCAGACTTTTTCTCTCTTACTACTCTCTTTACCTCATTATTCAACCACTCTGACACTACATTCTTAAATCTACCCCATACTTGTTCAACCTCATTGTCTGTACTCTCACTAGCCCATCTCTCTTCCAATAGTTGTTTATATCTTACCCTAGCTGCCTCCTCGAGTTGATAAACCTTTGCCTCTCTCTTACTTGCTGATTCCATTCTCGTTGTATCTCATCTACCTTTTACTCTCATTGTAGCTACAAGTAAAAATAATCTGATATATCTGCTGCCCCTCTGTAAACATGCACATCCTGAAATCTACGCATAAGTCGTTTATCTATGAATATATAGTTCAACAAACTAGTGTCATTATGCCCTATATCATATCTTATATGTTTAATTACTCTTTCTTTTACTTAAATTATGTACAGGTCGGCTATCACTAATCAGGCAGTCAGTAATCAGGTTCCATCAGTAATCCAGCACTAATTTCAGCTAGCATAATTAAAGATTTCTGGGGTTGGTGGTGCTACTTACTGCATAAGTCATTCCAATTTCTTTTTCTCCATTTATTGTTATAACCTGCTCACTTTTAGCCCAAGCCATGGTTCCAATGAATAAAAGAAATGTTTCTCTTTGTGTAAAGCACATACACCGTACACTGTCCATAAAAGACAAGGTGGCTTTGAAGCCACTGTCGGTCGCCATGAGCTCAGCTCACTCACTCACATAAGCTGTGACCAGTAAATTTGGGCATGCATATGATAGAATAGGTCTGTGTGGTAAGTGTGCACTATATAAAAAAAAATCCTGCAGCACGCAGTGCATAATGAGGAAAAACTGTGACACTGTTTTCGGTGTAAAACAGCGACTTTGCGTTGCATTTTTGTATGTTTTTTATGGCTGTATTCTTATTTTTTTGGTTTCATTTGGTAGAATGGAAGATACTTTACAGAAATAGACATGATTTTCATTGGTTTTCCAAAGGAAAGTACCTTGAAACCGAGTTGAAAGTAACAGAAATGTTTGATTTTTGCCGATGTTCAAGAGTAAATAAATCCAATGTGCCCAACTGGCCGGTCTGATACGCGGTCACGAATGGGTTGACATTATTTATACAATTATTACAATAATGCAGTAGTCTGCATAACAGTAAATTTTCCAATTTTTTTTTTTGTGTGAATTAAAATTCAAAATGGAAAGCAAATGTAATAAAAAAAAGGGCCTGGAGATGTGACTAATGAACAGAGAAAATGTTATTTTAGTGCCAGAAATGTCTGTATTGTTTATTCTGGAATACTATTTTAAAATTGGCATCTCTTGAAATGTGTGAAATTGGCCAAAATACCAATTTCTGAGCACTTTATTGGGTAGCTGAAATAAGTAAATGAGCAATTTCTTGTACACAATATACATAATAGAAGGAATACAGTGGTCCCTCAATAATCGTCTGGCCTGAAAGTCATCCATTTCGGAAACAGTCCCGTTATTTCGTCTAAACATTGGCTCGCAAATAGTCAGTTAACTCGCTAATCGTCCTTCGTCCGGGACACGTACTCACGCTCTGAGCCACCGGGCCTGCCTTCCCAGCCAGTGTGCCATTGTTTACCAGTGAGCGACGGTCCCCTCACATGCTCCTACGAAATATTTCATAATACAGTGGACCCTTGACCAACGATATTAATCCGTTCCTGAGAGCTCATAATTAGTCGAAATTATCGTTAGTCGAGTTAATTTCCCCCCTAAGAAATAATGGAAAACAAATTAATCCATTCCTGACACCCAAAGTATTGAAAAAAAAAATTTTACCACATGAAATATTAATTTTAATACACACAAACTGAAGAAGACATGTACAGTTACATGACACTTACCTTTATTGAAGATCTGGTGATGATTGATGGGATGGGAGGAGGGGAGAGTGTGGATGGTGTTAGTGTTTAGAAGGGGAATCCCCTTCCATTAGGACTTGAGGTGTCAAGTCCTTTTCCGGGGTTACTTCCCTTCTTCTTTTAATGCCACTAGGACCAGCTTGAGAGTCACTGGACCTCTGTTGCACAACATATCTGTCCATAGAGCCCTGTACCTCCCATTCCTTTAAGATTTGTCTAAAATGGGCCATAACATTGTCATTGTAATAGTCACCAGCACAGCTTGCAATAGCTGTGTTAGGGTGATTTTCATCCATAAAGGTTTGCAGTTCACCCACTTTGCACACAGTTCCTTAATCTTTGAAGTAGGCACAATGGATTCCACAACTGGCATAGGCGTCTCAGAGTTAGCCCCAAACCCTTCAAAATCTTTCTTAATTTCCATACTAATTCTCAATCTTTTTATCACAGGGTTGGCACTAGAAGCTTTCTTGGGGCCCATGGTGACTTATTTTGCAGGTGCAATCACTAAAAACGCTGTGATAATATGAAATGTTCTGATTGTATGCTTGGATGCGACCGCGGTGGCTGGCTTGTAAACACTGGCACCCATGAGACAAGTGAGGCGCGCTCATATCACATGTGGACACGTCTCAAATGGAACGAATCGCATTGGTCGAGTTTCTTAGCAGTATTCGAGGCAAAATTTTTGCGTTAAAATGTATCGCTAGTCAGATTTAATATTATACGATGCCATCATTGATCGAGGGTCCACTGTATTCCATTGATTTTAGTGCTTGCAAGTGCTCAATAAGCTACGATGGATCCATAGAAAGGTTCTAGTGCCAGCCCTTTGGTAAAGAATGTGAGAAACACATATAATTTATGAAAAAGTTTGTAGAAAAATACAAAGGTGGGGGTGGTAGAGTGGAAGCAGTTGTGATAGTGGTTGATGGTGGTAGTGATGGTGGTAGAAGGTAGTAGTGATGGCGGTAACAGTTGTAATAGCGGTAGGTCGTAGTGATGGTGGTAGAGGGTTCCTTCTTTAGTGATTCAGCGATTCTACCAACTCCTCCAATGTTGTTGGAGTTATATAGGGCTACAGGAAACACCACCACCTCAGCTGCTGCTTCACCACCATTATGGACGGCTTAGTCTCAGTGGCCCTTATATACCCAACAACAACACAACACCTCTCGTGACAAAACGTAAGACTTATTTTATTCATTCTAGAGTATATTTCCATGGTTCTATGTTATTAATATTGTTTATTATGTCATATTATTTGAAATTGTGATAGATAAATAAGCCTAGAGTTGTTTATTAGTGTCATATTCTCCAACAATTAAATTGCTCTCCCTCCCTCACAAAACAAGTCTCAATAAGAACTAAGAAAGGAGGAACACTGCAGCAGGCCTGCTGGCCATACTGGCCAGTCCTTCACAAATCCAACCCCTTAACGAACAAATGCTACCAAGCAATAAGCTCAGGTGCAAGTTCCCACTCAAATCCAACCCCTTTCACTCATGTATTTATTTTTTTTATTATTATTATCACACTGGCCGATTCCCACCAAGGCAGGGTGGCCCGAAAAGAAAAACTTTCACCATCATTTACTCCACACTGTCTGCCAGAAGGGTGCTTTACACTACAGTTTAAACTGCAATTATTAAAAACCCCTCCTTCAGAGTGCAGGCACTGTACTTCCCATCTCCAGGACTCAAGTCCGGCCTGCCGGTTTCCCTGAACCCTTCATAAATGGTTTTCTTTGCTCACACTCCAACAGCACATCAAGTATTAAAAACCCTTTGTCTCCATTTACTCCTATCAAA